CTTTACTTCTCTGGGACCATTATTGCAGTCATGGTCTGTCCGCAACAAACCACAAGGCAGCAGTAACTTATTCAGGGTTGCACTAGAAATATACACAGGGTGAGGACGCCAGGATAGGGGGTGGAGCTCAGAGCTCTCCCCGTGTGAAAACGAAACTGAAACATGCTGGGGCAGCCCGGCTGGCTTGGGTCAGTGGTTGAGCATTTACCATGATCCAGGAGATCACAATTTGATTCCAGATCAGGGCACATGCCCAGGTTGTGGGCTCCATCCCCAGTGTGGGGTGTCCAGGAGGCAGACAATTGACGATTCTCTTTCATCATTGATGTTTCTCTCTGTTTCTCTCCCTTTCCCTTCCTCTCTGAAATCAAGAAATATATATTTCATAAAATAAAATAAAACAAAACATGCTGGGGAAGCCAGAGGAAACAACGGGGGATATACTTTAAAATATACTTTTAAAGTTGATAGGGATTTTTTTTTACTGGAACCTGGATTCTTTGTCTGCCAGAGTCGAAGAATGAATCCATGGACAGAGAATAGTATAGAAAAGGTGGAGATTTATTGAAGAACAAGTACAGACTCCCATGTGGGGAGAGGAAAAGACTCCCACAGTATAGACTCCCACATGGGGAAGGGGAAAGGGTGCCACTGAGTTCTCTTTTCCTTTGGCTTATAAAGGCTATAGATCCTGGTGCCTTGATATCCCCTCTGATCAGTCACTATTCCCTTAGACTGTTACTATAGTGACTCATGACTCCTAAGGCCCTCCTCCCTCACTGTCCTCCTATTCCCTCTGGGCTTTCTTCCTCCTCCTTTATCCTATACTAGAGGCCCGGTGCACGAAATCCATGCACTCGGGGGAGGGGGGGTGGCAGTCCCTCAGCCCAGCCTTCACCTTCTCCAGTCTGGGACATCCCTCTCACAATCTGGGATTGGCTCCCAACCGCTCACCTGCCTGATTGCCCATAACCGTTTCTGCCTGCCAGCTTGATCACCCCCTAACCACTCCCCTGCCAGCCTGATTACCCCCAACTGCCCCCACCCCCATTTAAGCAATCCTATCCTATATAATCTATATATACTAATAAAAGGGTAATGTGTTAATTAGACTGGATCAACTAGCCATCTTCCAGATGTCTGACTTCCTTCCGGACAAAGCCATGGTGGTGGCAGCCAAGGCAGAGGCAGTTAGGGGCGATCAGGCTGGCAGGGGAGGGCAGTTGGGGGCAACCAGGCCAGCAAGGGAGGGCAGTTTGGGGCAAGATCAGGCTCAGGCCAGCAGGGGAGGGCAGTTAGGGACAATCAGGCAGGCAGGCAGAGGCAGTTAGGGGAGATCAGGCAGGCAGGCAGGCAGGTGAGCAGTTATGAGCCAGTGGTCCCAGATTGTGAGAGGGATGTCTGACTGCTGGTTTAGGCCGGTCTGCTGCACCAGACCACGCCACCAGCCTGGCTGCCCAAATCCACACCACAGAGGGGCTTCTGTACTATGCGCTCCCATCAACTGACCCCATCAGCCATCTGCTCCAGAAGTTCAACCAGCGGCCAGGCCATTGTGGGATCCCAGAGCTCAGTAGCCCCCTGCCACAGCCGCTGCCACAGCCACCTGTCCTCGGCCCAAGGTCGGTGCAGTGACTTTTGCAGAAGACCAGCAACAACTCATTCACCATCCACCCTTGGGGCCTGCACCGTGGGTCGGGCATTCGCCTGCTCCCCAACAGGCCCCTGACCCCAAAGTTCCTGGCAGGCACTGCCAATGGCATCGCGGGATCCAGCTTGGGCCGGGCGAGTACAAGCCAAAGTTGGAGTTGGGGGAGCCTCCCACCCACCAGCCCTGGGACCCCAGTGCCACTCCAGCCTCGTCCCTGGCTTTGTCCAGTGTCAGCCCTGCCAGTGCCACTCCCAGCCAGCACCACTGGGTCTCCTCGGCCACCAGCACCAACGACGCCATCAAGATATGGCCGGCCTCCAAGCCAGATATGAACACGATTCCCAGGGGGGGACCTGCAGGCCCGGGCTCTGCCCAGTCTCCGTGTGAACTCCCACAACTCCTTCGTGTTCATCCCCAAGGGCAAGGCTACTGGGGCCCCTCCGCCCCAAGGCAGGCAGCCTGTGATGTACACTGACCACCAGGGGACAGACGCTCAACACAGGAGCGTCCCCCTGGTGGTCAGTGCACTCCCACAGCC